TCATACTCACTGGAAGCAACATAATGACTCTTACTTTGTCAGCTCTCATTTGATGAGGGAGCTCAGACTGCAGAGTTAATTGAAATGCAAATGGGCAGGGGACGGATGGCAGCATCCATTTGGGACAGTGGTCTTCTGAAACACTTCAATGCTTCTCATAGCCAAAGGAAACATGGGGAGACCTTTCTAACAGATAGGTCAAACTAACACAGTGGTGCTTGCAGAGAGTTACCTGCTCAAAACCACTGCCAGGAATCACCCTGCATAAGACCACCAAGATAGTTCTGCTGCAGAAATTTAGCACGTGCCTTTCTTTCTGAGAGATCTACATGGAAACAGCCTGGGTTTAAGTTTCTTGGTGTAAAAGAGATGTCTTTCTCCCTATCCACACAGATCTCCCTCTAGTGTGTCAGGAAATCTGAAAGTGTTGGAAGTCCACTGCTGGTTCTGCTCAACATGGATAATTCTGGTTTTCAAACTGTACCTATGTAGACATACCTTTCTAAAGCAATTTCTCTCGGCTGTACTTCTCTATGACTGTTCTGGGTTTTATAGTACTGCGATGTTCATTCTCTTGGTTTTGTGGGATTTTTTTGTTTTGTTTTCATAACAGAGAAATGGAAAAGCTGTAACTTGTAATGTAGACTGCTATTTCCTAAAGTGGATTATTTGAAGGTTGCCTCTTCCATTCACATTTAACAGTGAAGAAACACCTGAAGCAAGACCAGACAAATAATGTTTTTAGGAAAAAATTAGAAAACATTTCTGTTGGTACAGGTGACATATTCTTCTACTACACATCTTTTCCAGCAGATTTTTAACAGATATAACTGAAAAATACAGACAATTTGGTTTTCTCATGGTTAGACACAACTCCATCTCTGTCAGGTTTGGGAACAAATCTCAGTCCTGTGATACTGCTGGTAGAGCTTTGTGCAGACCTCTCTGCAAGTCTTTGCCTCAGCTCTCTTCCAAGCACTTTCTGCACAGAGAGATGTCCTGAAACGGCTGCACTGGAGGTGCAGGCTGCTGCGTCTCCCTACACTGGTGCTGCTCTGGGATAGAATTGGGTTTAACCTGAAGTAGTTCTCCTGGGGTAAAAAACACCCCAGCCAACCCAAGACAAAAACAACTCCCCACCAGTTTTCTGGGGTAAAGTGAGTTTCTTGGGAGCTGAGATGAAATAGTTACTGTAGAAACCTTAGTCCATTTCAAGTGTAGTGATGTTATTGTTCTGCAGCAGCATGGCTGGCATAGCCACCAGATCCCTGTTTCATGTTGACTCCACTGAATTCCTTGGTGTCTTTTAATATGTTTCCTGTTGTTAGGTCAGATGCTTTCCCAAATTAAAAGCTAACTGCATTTTTAATCTCTCTACCTGGCTTAGCAAAACTGCCTAATAATATTTCTTCTTCTGAAGTAGGTGTGGTTGTAAGAAGAGCAGGCTTAAAGCAGCCTTGAAAGCTATTTCATAACCCATAGTCCAACAACTGGTTATCTACAAATGACAACTGTAGCACTGTGTGAAAGCATTGTTAAATACTCATTTCTATCATCTAGCACGCCACCATGCAACAAAGTGCAAAGAAATACTACTGCAAAGGTTTGTATTCACTGCAATATGGCACTTTCAATATTTAGAATGCAGTACTGATTTTATAAATTGCACTTTCTGGTACTGTCAAGCAAGAAGAAAAGAAAGAATTGAACTCTCCTTGCTTTGTGAGAGATGCTAAATCAGTTTAATTTGCAGGAAAAAAATAGACCTTAAAACCTAGATGCATAAATAATAACTTGGATGCAAGTTTGCCTCAAATTTTCTTAGAAGAATGCATTTGCTATTCAGGCACCATATTTGTGGTGACATAACATAATTTTATATATATAATATATTTACATAACAGGCACGAGTAGCCACTCTATTATTTACTGTGTCACTCAATGGACAAGATAAAACCAGCTTTGAATTAAAAGGAAAAAAACCCCAAACCAACGTAAAACTTGCACTTGGACTGCTACTAACAATCAGTAAATCACTGTACAAACATAGGAAAATAGTTACAAGGAGTTCACTGATCTGCTGTCTCATTATCCCACTCAAGAAGTGACTAATGCAGGCTGCTGACTTGCAGAGTGGCCCAGCCCCTTCAGGGCACCGGGGCTGTCTTCAGCCAAGTGCCACCGACTCCCTCTTCCCAGTGAGCTGGAGCTGGCTCGCAGGGCTGAAGAGCATCACATCCAGCTCTGCCATCCCCTCCACACACCAGTCTGTTTCCTTGAGGCTTAAGGAAGGGAAGGGACAGTTCACTGGCTCACTTTGGGCATCCAGCTGGATTCTGAGCTTGGAACCATTTGCTGGAGGCAACCCCAGAGTGAAGGTGAGAGAGGGATGTGTTAGGAAGCACACGGAGAGCCCCTGGAGGGGATGTGCTGGCCCCACTGACATGGTGTGAGGGGAGCAGCCCAAAGTGAAGACCTGTGGCAGGTGGTGCTGAGCATCTGCTGCTGCTCCACATATCTGAAATTCAGATGGTCTCTCCTGTCTGCCAGAGCCAGCTTTTGGACAGGTTGCTTCCTAGAAGTTCCAATTTCAAGGAAGCCATGAAGAGCTAGGCTTGTAGCATCTTAAATTACTTAGGGGCCCTGAAGAGGACATAATAAGGCTCTAGCCATGCCATTGCCATTATGATGGCTGCAACAGCTCAGCACCCACCAAGTGATGGAATTGGGAACCCCATTGTGTTGGACTTAAACACTCTGAGAGGTTTCCACCAGGGAGGCCTAGGGCTCTGGACCCTTGGAAACTCTGGCCCCCTCTGCTCTGAAAGCATCCAATCTATAGTGCGGGGCATCTGCAAGCCTTTAGCTGCTGTGCCCTACACCTACAGGTGTGCATGCTCAACAAGGCCTTTCCTGCCCAGCCAGGGCCACAGCATGGCTGACTCATCCTCTTTGCTCTGAGCTGGTCCACAAAATCTAAAATTCTGTTAGTGTGGTTGTAAAAGAAGTCTAATACTTGGGACTCTTACTGCTCTCATTATCTCACAAGGAGTAATGAATTCCAGGGATTCATTTTGAACTGCTCTTAGTTTTCTGTTTATTAACTTTTTTTTCTCACCTCTCTTTATTTCTGGAGTAAATTGGAACTGTTCAGTTTTCAAAATGATTCACTTAAAATCTGGGGGAGGAGGAAATAGATCCTGTATTTCTGGTATTAAATACTGTTTCATGAAATAAATTAGAATAGTTACACATGAGGTATTTAAAAAATAGTAATTCCTTCTTTCCTTGGCACAGTGCCATGGGCTGGTTCCCTACTTTGGGACACAGGGTGGCATTTAACTTCTGGAATTGGTTATGCCTCATGGAAGACCCTTAGGGTTTTCTCCAGAGAACGTCTCCTAGATGTCTGGGTTTGAAGAGCAGCCACTACATGCTTGAAAAACCAACTGAAATACTGAGTGGTGTGCAAGCTATAAAGAAAACTGTTTTGGCCCAAGATTATGGCAACTTTCCCACTCCACACCTGGACAAAAATTACTCAGCTTGGCAAAGTGGATAAACACACACAGAGAAACTTGTGGTTAAAATTTTACCTTTCATTAAAGTCTTTAACAACCCTGACTGAGTAGTTTATTTTAAAAAATGAGTTATAATTATAAACCCCCCTTTCAGGCCACTGGAATGACCACCGTTTGTTTGTTCAGGGCTTGAGTCTGGAAGAAAAAAAAAGGAAACAACTACCCAAAAGCATGAAAAGTTACTTCCTCTGGCAGAATGCCAGGCTTTTCCATTTCTAAAGCATTTTCCAAATGTCTTACATAGTTCTTGCAACATCCTGATGAGGTAGGCATTATTTCCCCATATTACAGATAGCAAAACTGGGCAGAGAGTCAGTCAGGAATCCACCCCTGACATCTAGGCAGAGAAGGTCAGGACAAAAAAAAAAGCACTTTTCTCCTCTGCAGTTGCTCCTTTTGCCCCAGAGGGTTGCAGTCACCTTGAGGTCACTCCTCCCCACCTGCACATGAGAACAGGCAGGAGTAGGTGGATATGAACACCCTGACTACAACATCTCCAGGACAGTGGGCACCACTGAACTGATGTGCAGGTGGAGGCTGACTGAGGAAGTGCAAGCAAAAGCCTAGTTATGATCTGTTCCTTCTTCCAAGTCATGACCTAATCTGGAGCTGGATTTGATGACTTTCCCTGTATCACAAAGCAAGCCTGGGTTAGAATGAGGAAACCATCTAAGAGTTATATACTGGGGCTACTGACCACACACACGTGCACACACACATCTCTCCAGCAATGCTAGGTCCAAAGAATATATACAGAGCAGTCAATGAACTATATATATGTGTGTGTTAGTATGATTCAGTGCAATGGGGAAATGGTGAGTTCTAGAGAAACACTCAGGTTTAAATGACCATTAAGCCTCTCTACCCTCCTCATGAGTAAAATGCATGTTTGATGTTCTTTTCTCAGCTTACTCTACTTGTATAATAAACCTTCATTCCATCACCACTACTTTTGACTATAATACATAGGGTAAACTAGGGTACCTCATTACATTGGGATGTGCAATACACAATCGACAGAGCAGTTGTCTGAGCTGAATAGTCTGAATACAAGTAAAAAGCAAGTGAGCTTAAACAGTAATATACTCCAATTTACAATATAAGCAGAACAAGTAAAAATATTGCTCCCCATCTGATCCTTTTTTTCCCTCCACTACTGCTGTGCCTGTAAGATTGGCTTGGTAAACTGGATGCACTCAAAAAATAAGGATTTTGCCTCTTGGAAGCTCATAAAATGATAATAGAGAAAGTTTTCTGATGGCTAATCCACACAGACTGCAGTTGTTAGACAATTCAAATGGGTAGAATAGAGAACCCTTTCAAACAGCTGTGGAGAAACAGAAAGAAATAGCCACTTCACATATCCCAATGCTGTTTCTGGGAATAAGGAACAGAAAAAAAAAGAGAGAGAAAAAAAAAAGACTACATATTAAGAGTCTTTGTCACTGTCCATTGAGCCATACATATCTGCCAGCTTTTTAAACCGAGGTCCCCAGTCACTGAGGTAATCGTAGTCCTGATCTCCGTCCGTAGTCACCGACTCCAAGGAGCTGAGGGACTCGGCCACAGAACCATTACCTTCGTACGCGTAGGTTGCTAATGAGTCATACGGGGGTGCTGTTGGATCTGTATCATTTTCCTTTAACCTTTGGTTAATGAAATCTCTGACATCCGTGTTATCTCGCGCTGTTGCAGTCCGCCGCGGCAGAAAAAGCGTTTCTGGCACAATGTCTCTGCGTAATTTATTATCATCTATGGCTTCGGGATTCCTCAGCGTGCCAATATCAAACGCCTGGGTGTCTTCCTCTCCACCACCTTCATCATTATAACTGACAATGTTGTCTCTGATGTCTTCTTTGGAAATTATCAAAGGCTCTTTTTTCCGCTGCCGTCTCAGTGCTGCAAACAGCACCACAGTAACTGCAAACAAAAACAACAGTGAAAGAGAAAGGGAAAGAAGGTTAATCCCCAACTCCGCTAAAGCCCAGAAGAAATGCTGCGCCTCTGCTTGAGCTTGAAGTTTGAGAAGATGTTTTGAAAAACTGAAAATGTGCACATCAGATTTTCAAGCTGCACTTGCTCTGCCTGTGAGTTCCTTGGGAGATGAAATGGCATGGATGCACAGAAGAAAGGAGATGTCAAGCTTGTAGGAAGCCAAGCAGAGTGTCTTTTTGCTGGTAGGCACTTTGTTACCCACAGCCATATCCTAATTTTGTCACATTGAGAACAGAACTAGTTTCATGATAGCTAGGAAGGAAGAAACACTTTCTCCAGAATAAGTAACGTCAGAAGTTATTTATGTTGAACCCCTTGGACAATATGCAACTTCTGCTATGGACAAGGATGGTATGTACTGATCTTAGCAAAGCAGAATTTCAAGATAAGTAAATCTATGCTCCTCTGGGAAAAAAGCTTGGAATATGGAGCAGATTTTAAGCCAGCACAAAGTCTGAGTTTTATTAAATTCCCTGGAATGTTTTTACAATGTACATCACCTTGAAAAGTACACAAATTAAATAATGGACTGATGAGATACAATAAAAGTATTTTTTAATGTGACAAAGGCAGATTTCTAGAAGATATTTTATGTCCTTCATTTTAAAGTGTGTGTTTGCATACACATATTTTTCATTTATTTGGAGGGAATGAATTCTTTCCATGATCCTGATGCAAGTTTTAATATTTTTACTCAATAATAATTTTCAGTAGTGACAGAGAAGTGGACACAAAGCGTGGAAAAGGATATGGTGAACACTTTCCTGTAGAAGCTAGTTTCAAATTTCTAAGCTGTATCCTACATTAAGATGTAAATGGCTGAATATTGACAAATTAACAGTAGCAAGGAGCAGGGATGTATTTCTGCTGCCAGTGTTGCTTTGGCAGTCTGAGGTCTGCAATGCCCAGCATTTCAGCTCTGCTGTGCAAACTCCAAGGAAGGACACATCTTGCTGCCTTTACAGTTTTTTTCCATAGCAAAGCAAAGAAGAAATGCCTAAACTCATTGATGTGAGATGATAAGGTGGATCACAATGATCTTTCATGTCAGCTTTGCTTCTAAAATGGCATGTGAGTAAAGCACAGTAACTGTTAAAGAATTTTTTTTCAGTCCTTTCCTCAGTTGTAACCTTTTAAGGCAAACATCAAGGACTAAGGGTGTCCCCAGCCCAAAACTTTATTCCATTGAACCTTATAATTCTTAGTTTCCTTTGACAGACACATTCTGGTGGGTTTTTTCTTTTGATCAGGGGAGATGGTTGTTTTTTGTTTGTTTAGGCTGGATTTTTGGTGGGTTTTTTTTGTTTGTTTGTTTTGGGTTTGGTTTTGGTTTGTTTTGGTTTTTTTTTTTTTTTTGTTTGTTTGATTTGGTTGCTTGTTTATATTAATAATGAGTTCCCCTGCAGTATTGCTTAGAGCAAAATACTGTCTGTAGGTGTGGCCGAGCATCTTGTAGGTTGACTATGGAAGGTCACCATAAAGACAGGATAAAGTAGGAAAATGCTGTGTTTTACCACAGGAATAGTGTGAATAAGGAGGAACATCTGTCAATATGAGTTGAAAGGAAACGGATGGTGAAGTTGAAGGATTAGGAGAGGTGGTTCAGATTGCATTAGGACCGTAGCCTAATGATGAGGATTTACTTATGGCATCACAGAAGAGTCCTAGTTTGAGTGATGCTTCTTTGTGCTGCTGTGCAAAAATACAGAGAGGGACAACTGTATTCCTAAGGAGCAAAAAGCTGTGGCACTGTGAGGAAGGACTGGTAAAAGGTGTGTATGAAAGAAGAGAGATATCTGGAGAATATTTTGGAGAACTTGAAAAACACAATGTTAGTTTGGAATGGGCTTTTGGAACAGTGACTGGTAGAATGGTCTGAGAAAACATAGGAATGATAAATTTTATATCAAAGAGTTGCTGAAGTATCTCATTACAAAAACAGTGTTACACATGCGAGGATGAGGCTTTGATAAATACATCACATCTGATACATGGATTTTACTGCTTTGTGCTCAACTTGCAGGAGAAAGACCCCACCATAAGCTACATGTTGAAGTACATCACCTTTATTTGCATGTCTGCATTCAGCAGTATCTCCTGATAAGATGCTAAACTTACTCAAACTGCATATAAACCTAGCAATTTACAGGCACTTTTTGTTGCTGCTAAACTTTGAGTTGCGGTTCAGGTCTGCCCAGAGTATTGTTTTTCACTCAGTAGTGGTTGCACATTCAAACCCTGCAACCAACCTGAAAATAGAAAATTATATAGCTGAGTTAATTGAAAATCTGCTTATGGTGCATGGTGGCATGAGCAGTAATTGACATAAAGTGCTGCTTAGCACACAGAATCAATTATTTTCGATTGACATAAAACAGGAAATCGTTTAATGTCAGATTGATATTAATGAGCACAGTTGTACTAATGAGTGCAAGACTACCTGCAGCATTACATTACTTTTTCTGGTAAGGACTTAATACAAAGTGAGCTCAGCCCTTAGGGGCAATGATACCATGTTTTGAAAAATGAATTTAATGGTGAATTAAAGATCAGATTGCTATTGTGGGAATCTTTTCTGAAAATGGGATAGAGCTTATTTGAGCAAGCCTTGACTATATTGTTAGAGTCTGAGAACCACAACCTCATCTTTGACTCATTACTGGAGAGGGAAATTTTGTTAAAAGAAAAGATCATGACGACTCTGCAGTGGTGAGAAGCATGTCCAAGGAAGATAGGAGTATGGTAAAAAGAAGTAGAATCATGAAGGAAACATTTTGTCCCCTGCCTGACCCTACTGCTCTAAAATTAGGCTGACTCCCTCCTTTTCTCCTAAGATCCTAATGTCATCTCCCAGAGAACAGCCTATGTTGCATTGTACAGTTGTCCCCAGATGAACAGGTACAGATACTGGCTGTGTGACAAACTATCTGTTTGCAGTACAAGATGGATGGAACCTGACAGGTATGTGAGAGGTGTTGCAAACTGTCCTTATATACATATATATATATCTAAAGTTGACCACCTTAAGTGCCATAGCCAGAGCCTCTGCACATTCTCCACACTTAGGATCCAACTCTCTTTCTAATAGTGGCTGAAATGGAAGACCCTGCAGCCTTTAAGAGAGTCCTTCAGTATCATTCAACATCTTTTTCCAACAGAAAAAAAGCACTGAGATTTTTTTCTCCTCAGTTTAGAAATGGAAAGTTAATTCTTCAAAACTAAGTCATCTGCCCTCTTTCTAGGGGCAACAGAAAGGGATGGACATGTGCAGAGGGTTATGAGTAATGTGTCTGGTCCTCCTCAGATACCAAAAAAGGATGGCATGGGATGGGATGGGAGGAGATGGGATGGGATGGGATGGGATGGGATGGGATGGGAGGGGATGGGATGGGATGGGAGGGGATGGGATGAATGTCTCTCTCTACAGATATCTCTTTCCATTGAACAGAGTGTGGGGCCCAGCTGTCTCCTCTCCCTCATATATTGCTAACTTTTAGATAACTAAGGTTAGGTTGGTTGTGCCCTATACACCCCATCTGTAGCAGCCCTCAGAAGAAGAAATACAATAATATATGTACAGCATAAGACTTTACTCTTCCTTTGTCCTAGTCTTGGAATAATCATTACAGCAATGCAAAATGACCATGAAAGGAGCAAAATGTACCTGAGTTACTTACCGAGTAATATAATGATGCAGAGAAGAATGGCAATAAGAGCCCCGGTGCTAAGACCAGTAGGATGAATCAAGGCTTCTGCATTACAGGACAGCATCTTTCCTCGATGGTCACAAGCACACACTCGGATAGTCACCGTTTCAGTGCTGCTCTGGATGGGGTAATCATTGTCTGATATTACCACTGGCAAGAAGTAGGTACTTGTTTCGTGCCGGTTATATCTGGTTTTTCGTGTGAAAATCCCTGCTGTGTTGTCTGGAAACACAAAGCATGCATTAAATCTTCATCTGAAGACTGAGAGCAAGCAAGGATAAGATAATAAAGAAAAGTCTTCCTAGAAATTCACCTCTGTTGTCCTGTAGTGTAAAGTTTGAGCTGCTGGCTGCCTCAGGAGCTAAGGAGAATGAAAACTGATGTCCATTGTAAGAGTCATCTTTATCAACAGCACTTAATGTTTGTATCAGCTGAAACAATAAGAACAAAATTATCCCCTAAGTCAGTGAACTTTATATTTATTTACGTACTCTAAAAAAAAAAACTGTAAAAGCAATCTTTTGTATTAATTTTTTTTCTTCTGCTTCAAGGCAGATGATGTTGCTATGGTGAGCTCAAGAAAAGTCATCCACATGCTGCTGACGCTGTTTGGGGTCACCATATTATTATATCCTATACCATCAGGGAGTGACATAATGAATTTCAAAGCTGGCAGGAAAATCATGTTGATTTCACAGAAGGCCTGGGTTAATGCCACTGCAGATGGGTAGGAAACCTTTGCATGTGACAAGGCATAGAGATGAAAGGTGAGCCAGTCCAAGCTGAATTTATATTTATCTACCCAAATCTCATGTCACAGAAATTGTTTGGCTGAATCTTCCAAATCACCTGCAACTTCGAACTACTTCACAATAGGAGTGGTAGACTGAGAGCTATCTAGCAGGATATAGTTGTATCACAGACAGGACCTGTAACATTTACAGACAAGAAATTGTTTTTGAAGGAGAGAGTGGAGGTGCCTGAATAAAGCAAAGGATGAAAGAATGAAAATAAATCAGGGGTAACAAGGTGCAGTACAGAAAATAACATTCAAAAGCATACCATCATGTCAGCTGGAAGAATACTGAGTGAAATCAGATACTGTGCAGCCACTGTTTAATTTTGCAATTAAGTTTGATGCAATGCAAAGTACACTGCTTGATGAGGTAATGCAAGAGTAGCAGCAAAACTCATTTAATTTGGAATATTTTCTTAGTACGAGCAGGCAACACACCTGTTCTGCCTTTGCGTTTTCACAGACGAAGGTCTCGTAAAACATGGCAAACTCTGGAGCGTTGTCATTTACATCCAAGACCTTAATGAACACGGGGACACGGCTGCTTTGTTTTGGGTTGTCTGAAATGACAAAACCAGAATGGAGATTTTATTTAGCCCAGTTGCTGACTCAATGCAGTGGAAGAAAAGGACAGACTTTGTGGCTCAATTCCTCTCACTCAGAGCACTTCACTTACATTCTGTTGATTTCTGGTGAGTGTGTTATGGGATGAATGTCGTAGCATTACTCTAATTCTGTGTAAACTATAGAGTTATGATGGAGTAGGAGTCCAGGATTTATAAATTCCTTTGATCATTCCAAGTGTGATTATGAATGTATGTGTAATATACGTAAATATAATACTGGAACTAAATTAAATCTATTAGCCTGACTGATAATGTCTAGTGGCAGGGAAGTATCTAGAACATATTCTCTTCCTTAGCTCTCTAACAGGAAGAGTCATGAGGATGAGATTGAGTGTTTTTTTCTCCTCCACTTGTTAAATACAATACTCTGTGCCCTACAAATCTTGTGGCACAGTTCCTTAAGCTACCATGATTATCATTATTTTGTAAAAATAGTAACTGCAGGCTGTGATCACAGATGCTTTCTAACCTGTTGTGAATTGTTTTGTCTGATGTTCTAGAGTAAATATTGAAGTGTATCAGCTGCAAAACATAAACTCTATATAGAAAATGCATATCCCCCTATGTAAATAATCTTTTTTTAACCTATAAGGACTGCATAGTACCAAGAGACTGAAATTGACAAAGATATTCCTGAGCACAGAATATTAGTGAAAATACTGTCATCTTTCTGGATAAAAATAAAAACATCTGGAAGCATACCTTACTGTATAGACCACTCCTTTTCCTGCTGGGAGGAGACAACCTTTAGTCAAAATGATACAGAGAATAAGGAAGAAAAGCAGTGGCAGTGACCTTGCCCAGAGCCATGAGTGGTGAAATAAGCAAAATTCTGAGGCAAAAAGTCACACCCTAACAACCACCGACTCCTAAAATGGACAAGATCTGGTCCCAAAGAAATTTGTCAGCACTAATTGAAACAAATTCAAGATTTGCCATTGATCTGTCTCCTTTGTGCTGCATATCACAAAATATCCACCCAGGATTATGTGGGTATGGAAATGTGAGAGAGAGAGAAATATGAGAAAAAGAGTGTGATTGAGATAATTTCTTTTAAAATAAATACCTTGCCCTCTCCTACATAAGGGTTCACACCAAGTTTCCTGTGTTGATCTCCTACCCACATTAATATGGTTTATCAATGCATTTTAACCTACCATTCAAGTGAAAAAAGAGTGCAATAAAATATAGCAGATCTAAGACCCTATATTCTTCCACAAGCATTCATTATAGTAGCTTGCTGGTTTTGTTATATTTATTCATTATAGCAGCTTCTATTTATTCATTATAGTAGCTTGTTGACTTTAATAAAAGTCCTATTAATGTGTTTATCATCCTTTCACAAATGTGAAAATGCCTTCTCCAAAATTGGCATTGCTTATTTCTATTACAGAGCTCAGTCATTTGGACAAAATATTGTGCTTTAAGGCTCCACAGTCCCATTGAAGTTAATATGATTCCATTAGGCATAAACCTCTTTCTAATATCAGCCATTGGGCTAAATTCATTAGATGTATAAAATAACAGTTTATGTATAACATGGAGTGAGCTGAATTCTTTGCTAAAATACATCAATAAAAGAGTCGAATTTTTATAACAGGCAGAAATCAAAGACATTCATTTGAAGTCACAGGACTATTGGCAAGACTATTTTGTAGGGCATACTTTTCAAACAAATACATTCAAATATATTGACAAACATGTTTCTTCTCCTCTAAAGAAGAAGAATTGTTTTCTTTCTTGCTTTTTAAACCTAAACCTACATATTTTTGTTTTACTTTTAGGTGCTTAAGGTTCTCACAATTTAAAATCATACTATAATAAACAGAATCATACTATAATAAACAGAAGCTTGATATAAACTCTAGGCTCTATGAACATAGGCCTCTTCTCTGATTTAATGGAAATCAATATACATCTTCGAGTCTTTTTTTTGGATATTTTGTGTCATTATCTTTCAAATTATTTGTGCAAATTAATTCACGTAGGTTCATTTGTTAGCATTATTCCTTAATTACTGCTGGGCTCTATCTCCATAGACTCAACAAACTGCTTAAATCTATTTCTTTGTATAAGGATATGTTTTCTGCTGAGCCAGCAATAAAACTCTTACAGAGGTGTTTTATTTCCAGAATACAGCCTGATAGTCCTGCCAATGTTTGACTTACCCATAAGTGTTAAGTAGGAAATATTTAAAAACACTCTGGGAGCTGTCTTTGGTAAATCAGCTGTAATTCTGCAGCTGTGACTCACTAGCCCTGTGTCCCCTGTTTCAATGCCTGTTTGCTGTCTGGCTGTGGCAGATGTACTGACCCAGGGTTTCACCAACTATTTATGTGCAGCAGTCACAGCGTGATTGATTCTCTGGGCTGCTGAGCAATTGCAGCTCATACCGGTGAAAAAGAAGAACATTTAGAACTGGAGCAATCTACACTTACTGACAATTCTAGACAAAGGCAAAACAACTTCTGCATTTTTTTTTTAACTGTAAAATCAAATCAAGAGCAGTCATCACTGAAAGGTGTTTCTCTTTATGACTTTCTAATTATTTTTTCCTATATCAAAGGGAGCACCCACCCATTTGAAAGCATATCCTGCCTGTAACCTGACTAGATATTTTTTTAGATTACTTCAGTGAAATATACTTGGAGCTTGATGAGATAATGTCACTGAGAGTAATAAATGATTCTGTGGAATTTAGTGGAATGGGACTTTAAGTAGCCTTGCTAGAAATTTCTGGGTTTGCCAGGAACAATAACCAGTGGTACTTTCCAGTCTAGTCTCTTGAGACTAAAATTAGTGATGTGTCCTGGATCAGAAAAGCACATTTCAACAAAAAAAAAAAAAAAAAAAAAATTGCCTTTGGAAGACATATACCCTAGTTATTCCAAATTTTGTCTAGGCTTAGTAAAGCACACCCTGGGAAGCAGGTTTGTTGCAGCCTGAAAGAATTCAGACTGAAGAGGAATGGTAATTAAGACAGAAGCCTGTGTCAGACACAAGAGGTTAAGCTGAGAAGGTTTGGGCAGTAGAAGGTCTGTGAGTACTCTTCTTACTCTTAAGAGAGTAAGCAAGAAGCCAAATCAGTACTTCCTATAGATGCTAAGCTGGTTTTTGGACAGTTTTCTATACTGCATGTTATTTCAGCCCAGCTGGGGTCAATGCAAGTGTTCTTGCTATTGTCAATGCGAAATGTTCTTGCAATTCTTTCCTTTTCAGGCATTTATTTTTGCCTTCTGCTCTACCCAGGAGCTGCCTATAGTGTACAATTTTTGACCCTAGAACCCACCTTCAAGACCTTAACAGAAACACAGCCACATGACTAACATTTAGTGTTTGGTGTGTTGAAATCCCATACCTAGCATTAAAAGGTGCAAACTTTCATGAGTGGGAGAAAATTATTAACGTCCTGTCATTCCTATAGGCTCATACCAACTCCTCCTTCATAAAACCCCATTTGCTTGCCTCAGTAACATTGTTTTACATTGGCTGTCAGTTTTAAAGAAGACTTACACAATGAAGAAAGTTGAGTCAAGTAATTTTGAGCTTTTTACACTCTTCTCACTGTTAAGCAGGTAATCAAGCCATATACACATACAAAAAATGAAAGTAGAGCTTACATTGTCTCAGAAAAATCAAAAGCTTTTTGCCCTCTGAGTTGCAGAGAGATGTTGTGACAGTCACAGAACTGGTGTTTATAATTAAACTTATCCACTTATTCCACCATAAACATAGGCACTGTGACTCTGCAAAAGCAAATAGAATTGCATTCCCAGATATTTGAGCATGTGATGTACTTATACATAATGTATTAAAACAAAACAGATTGTTTACTAAGGCCATCTCAAACATATGTCCTTATCTTAGACCCCTGGCATTTTGACTTCAAAAATCAGCATGTCTAGTGTTATCACAAGATTACTGCTTTTAACAATCCTAAACTAAGCAACAGACTGATTTGTAGCTGTGGCTTGTAATTTCAAAAGATGCATACAAAGGAAAAATGAAGATGCATAAAACTGACTAAGATCTGGGCACCCAGCTCAGCCCAGCCATTTTAGCCTTATTTGAAAACATCCAGTCTGAATGAGCCTGAATTCAGGCAAGGAATGCAGTTTGGCTTTAAATCACCTGTTTTGCTGTATACCAGTTTCAGAATTCAATGACCACATCCAAAAATTTAAAGTGGTTATAACTGATCAGAGAACACAGAACTGCCACCTGTTCTCCCTGCTACGTTACCTCCTCATGAACTGTGTCCCTAATAAACACAAAACTGCAGACGACCTCTTGCAGAGTTACTGCTTCTTCATTAGTATTGAGTGGGCTATCCATAAACCTGACATGTGCCCAGCTGCGCTTTTCCACACACTCAGCTAGAAGGCTAAATTCATTACATCAGGGACAGGAGTCATATTTAGGTTTAACTTACTGATCTCTGCTGCTATTACTGTAATGTTGTGCCACAGCAGTGTTTCCCGGTCAAGGGGTTTTGAAGTGAATATCGAACCATTTCCTGAATTGATGTTGAATACTCTGTCCATATCAGTGTGGCGATCTACAGAGTACCTGCAAATACAGAGACAGGGGTTAGAGGAATGCTTTCTTTTTAATGTCTGTGTTCTAAAACCATTTTCTAAGACTAGACATCAAACAGCTAGTAAATGGGGTTTCCTTTTGTTTTCAGCACAGGCTTCAGAGTCTTTATGTATTCACACAAAGAGCTAGTTCTGAGCTACTGGATAATGACACATTGGAGGTTTGATTTAGAAGGTGGAGTATTGTCACTGAATAAATGAATTGCTGCAGAATTTACATACCTCTGAGAATCATCAAAGCTTTGTTTTTAGTGAAAAATGTGAAGTCTGTGTCCTGAAAGATACGAAGTTTATTTTAAGGCTGAGTTGGATTTTCCTTTATAAAACCCTCTTTTTATGGATTGATATCTCAACTGTTCTGAATAATTTCTGATACAAAATGTGACAGCTGGGGTGCATTTGTACTTTTCTCTTCTCAGCATTTAAAAAGGTTGCCCTCCCAAACCAAGTCAGTACAGAACAGAGATTCATTGTTCCACATATCACAAAAAGGTTTGTTCTAAGTCATTAAAACTAACATTCTCAGCCCTGCTTGATGGTATCTGTATGTGAAAAGGAATGCTAACAAGCTCTGGATGAGCTCAGAGTCCAAATACAGATTCAAATTTTCAATCTGATCTTTTGCTTTTTCAGCTGAACTAAATCCAAGTTTAAAAGCAGAACTCTCCAATTCCCGGGAGAGAGCGCTACCACCTTGATCCAAATGCTGTGACTTGGTTTCATCTCTCCTGAAGGGAAAATTCTTGCATAAAATATGGAGGTTTTTGACAGAAATATGTCTCTGATGTTGCCAAAGCAAGAATGCAATTGCATTATTCTGCTCTTGTTTCCAGCCCAACTGTGTGCTCGTGTACAATGCAGGACAGATCCTTCGGAAGCTCAGTGTGCTCCCTTGGTCTCCTTGCACACCACGTTGACAGAGACAAGGCAGCCACTGCTGTCCCTTGTGTCCACACAAGGGTAAAGACAACAGCTGAGCTGGTAAGCAGTCAGACGAAAACTGGGCCAGGAGAATGGCTGGCAGAGTTCACTGCCACCACAGAATTCAGGGGAATGCAGAGGCTGAAGAAAAATTTCTCTCCCCTGCTCTGCCCTAGAAGAAGCTGCCAGACACGTCCTCCATTCTGCACAGATTTCCTAGTGCTTGTGCAGTGTCTCTTAAATTCTGAGAAACACCTTACATGAAAGAAGGAAGGAATAGAAGAAACTAGTTGAAAATTGGTTCTGCCAAAATTATAAAATGAACTAACTGGTTAATTATCTTGTAACTTTATTCTTTGCAAATAAAATGTGGGATATAATGCCTATAGCAAATTAGACTTATTGGGTCTTATTCCAAAATAAGAATTTAAGTGAAGCCTACCTTTCTAAACAAAACAATGGCAAGTATTAATTATTTGTACTAAACTGTTTTTCTTTTTCAGTAGTAATTCCTAGGGAAGCACCCAAATGACATTCAAAGGTACTAGCACAAAAAGCTAATACATTTTGGTAGGACTTCCATGGCAAACTTTGCTAATTCTTTAGGAGTTCAGATTTAGTTCTCATTCATTGCTGTCATTTCACTGACAGTACTGCAATTTTGGCTGCAGGAAGTCAGTTGTGGTGTCACTAACTTAGTTCCTTTATGTAGCATTGTGACAGTACCATCAGCTTGAAAAATGCTGGTTTGTCTAAATCTAAACAGCAAGTGTGAAATTGTTGACTTGGCTGAAATGTTTAATGGGAATAAGTTTATATCAAACTGGTCTGACTCTTTTATATTTTGACTAAGTATTTGATATGGTAAACATTTCATTTTAACTTTCATTCATTCTGGCTTTTATATGATATTTTGTTGGTATCTTGTGAATTCAATTATTTTCAGATATTCTGTAGCTCATTTCCACACCTTTCAGCTGAAATACTTTGGTATTTCCATTTTGCAGTTAAATCTAGATTCTGTATTCTTCTTTGAAATGAAATATCAAGATTTTCCACAGTTTAGCTGTTCCAGCTAACTGTAATACTATGTTTCAAACTCTTATTCAGCAAGACATTTAAATAAGCAACTAGCTTTAGGCATGAGCTGTCTGTTCATTGGGGGTTTTTGCTTCAATTTTACTTTCACTCCATCTTCCTATTTTCAATGCACTTGAAATATCTTACTGTCTTAGCACATTTTAATGCCTCAGTATATTGCAATCATTATCTTTGAAAGACTTCCCAAATTCAATCTGTGATACAGTATCTGGAAGAAAAAAAAACGGTTCTGGATTTTTTTCAAAGATTATCAGGGCTGTAACACTGAGGGCTTCTCCTTCTTCAAGATATTTAGGATTTTAAAGTACAAGTATTTGTAAAGCCATATATATATTCAGTCATTTGTAAAGTTGAAACTCAAACTCATAAAAAAAACCCAGCAGAGACAGTTTCTTAATGGAATGTTAATTTTATTTCTTCATATCCCAAAGAAAATATATACAAGGTCAGTGCATTTAAAGTATATTCCAATTATACCATTAAATCTCCTCTAGAAGGATGATTTTAATAAGCTAGACTGTCACTTCTGTTTCTCAGTTTGCATAATCCAGTCTCTTTTGATCAAGGATTTTTAATTATGTTGAATTGGTGCTGATTCTGACTTCTGGATCACAACCTAGTAAGAATTAAGTAGACAACATCAAACTAATTTTTACATTTATTTAATGAAATTACGGGTGCGTTTTTGTCAGACTTCAGGACTTCATCTCTTTCAAGCTCTGAGGAATCGACAAGCTAGGAAGTTAAAAAAGTATCCATGTAGACTCCAGTTGCTCCTTGTAAGTAATAGGAAGTAGGGAAGGGTAAAAGAGAGAATCCAACACATGCAAATATGTTGTCAGTAAAATACACAAACAAAATTTAGCCTTACATTTGTTTGCAGATCATTCTCATCTGGGGTACTTTAGTAAATCAAATCACAGCAGGGAGACAGTTCCAGTGACTGATGAACTTCATTATGCCTCTGAGGAGTTACTATAGCAAAAAAACTCAGCTAGCAATTTAAAAAGATCTGATGTACAATACAGCAGTGCCAGTTTCAGCATTGTTTTTTTATCAGTATGCAGAGGTTCATATTATTTATGTGTAGATCAAACACAAGTAGAATGCAAAATTTTTTTATAGCACCTCTGGACTGTAGATGCTACTCGAGAGCATCTTAATGTTACTACACTAGGGCACATATTCAAATATAGCCAAACATGTACTGGTGTATTTTTGTATTTTCTCAATGTCATATCAGGGAAAAACTTAGAAGACTTAGACTGATGCAATTTGGCTCTGCCTATACACAGGTCACAAATGGTTCTGCAGCCTTACAACCAGGGCAGATATCTGCTTCATATTTTGCTATTTCTTCATTGTCTTCTGATGCTCAGCAGCTTGCTGTCTAATGCAACCACAAGTCAGGAAGATTTGTGGGTCAGGAAGGAATGTGTGTGTGAATTTTTCATAATGCATTTTCATAATGATATTGTGAAGGTTTCCTTTAATGGAAGATCAAAGGGGCTTTCATCTAACAGAGTTAGGGCTCAGTTTGTTTAAGAAGAGAAATCTTCACTCGAGTAGAGGAGAAAATGGAAGGTTTTCATTGTAATACCAAGTGTCTAAAGATTTTATTTTTAACTGTCAAGAAAAATTGACAAGCAAGTGACAAGTCATATATATACTGTCTAATTGCATCTTCCCCAAAGCTCAGAGTGAAAATCAGATTTAGCATCTCTATTGCATGATAGAAAAAAAAAAAATTACCCTGTCAAAAAGATGCAGACTCAACCCATGCCCCTAAATTCTAGCAGATACCCAAGATATTAGCACCACAAAATTACATTTATTGCAAGTTAACATCTCTCAGGCTACTGCTCTCTGCTGATTTTCTTTCTCTCTTACTGATTTTCATGTTTTTCTTGCTATGTTTATTTCTATTAATCTCTGATTTTTATTTTTCTTCTCCTTGCACTTGGCTGTTACATGTTATTAAGGTAAAAAGTGGACAAGCTTTGTGCTGCACTGCATCAGTTTTGACACTTCTGCTAAATTTTGCTCAATAACTATCTGATACTAAAATATGCAAAGTACTTATACGGTATTAAAGAAGCGCCCTTTGAAAGTTAGGTAAGTTTTAGCACACACATTCAATTAATAGCAAAGAGCCGGTAGGCAGTGCTCAACAATGAACAGCATAGTCCCTATCCACTGTAAATCACTTATAATTAGGAGCTGGTGCTGGTGTGAAATGCAAATGGCTGTAGTTATCACCACAGGGAAGGAGGGAAGCACTCCCCTTACTCTCCAGCGCCATTAGATATAAAAAAGCAGATTCCTATGAAGACTGCAAGGGGCCTGGGTGTCACCCCAACCAATTTTTCATCTTCATGCTAGCATGCCCATGAAAAAGTCCTACAGAAGATGTTCATTCTGTCCTGGGGCTTCACCAAAGTCAGCAAAACATTATGCTGCTCTTTACGTGACTATGCTCTGCTGGCCCGGAATGTCAGAGAATGGCTGCATGTCATGATAGAAATTTAAGAAAACTTTAATTAAAGTTAGAAGGCTTAGTCTTGAAGAAGAATACATGTAGAGGACATGCTATGCAAACTGAAGATAATTTCCTAGATGAACAAGCTAAATCTACAATGTTTCTGGCAGAAACTAACATTAAAATATTTACTGCTCTCACAAGATAAGCTAAGAGCTTAAAACTTACTCATTACTGTAAGAAATCTTGATGAAAGATAATTGTTTGCACAAGTGTAAAGTATTGATGGGCTAGATTTTTATTAAATCTGCACTGTTCCATTTTGATCAAAGGCTACTATTGAATTTCCAAGGTGCCCAACTCAGAAACCTGCTGAAAATTGACCTGGATTTAATATTGCTGCACTTTTCGATTCCTCTTCTTGCTGCCTTGTCAGTAGAAATGAACTTTAATTAAAGAACACAAATATTTAAAAGTTCTTTAATACTCTATCTAGTATGACTTAAGTACTCCAGTATTCACTGAAACAATACACAATTCACAAAAAAGAAGACAGTTATAGCTACTACAATCTTAACATTTTCTCCACTTCCTCTAAGAACAGTTTATTGATTCTTGGCAAGTTTAACTTAGGAAGCTCATGAGACTGAGCTTACGTGTCTTACAAACCTTGCACTGATACAGGTGAGATCAAAGCCTGGGTGTGCACATGAGCTGATTTTGAGGCATTTCTACTTGTGATTTAGAAAAGATGAATGTGGCCTCTGTTAAGCAGGTCTGGACAGAAGAAGAAAAGGCTGGTGAATCACCCCTCTGTCATATAGCCAAGAGGATGCACTGTGCTGCACTGGAAAATGTTAAAGGATGTGGAAGGAAAGGATGTTAAAAGGATGTGGAAGGAAAACACTAAGATTTTCTCAGTGGCCTTTTTGCAGTCAATTTTTTCATGGTAGAAATAACCACATACATTAGTTACTAAAGAGATTAGGATATAATTCAAGATGCAAAGGCCATGCAAACACATTCACACACACCTAAATATGTTCAAGTGTGAGAGATCAATTACCATGTACAATACTCCATATTCAAGCATGCCCTACAATTCACATTGTTACAAGTGAGGATTTTTTTGTATGTGCTGACATGATAAAAGCAAAATCAAGGCTGTAAAAAATTTACAGGCAAGCTGAAGTAGTATATGCTTACTTGACAGGATTCTTGGCAGCATCTGGATCCTGAGCAGTTACTGTTCCTATTACACTGTTTAATGGAACATCTTCTTTGACTTCCATTATGTATGCTGGTCTGCTGAACATGGGGGGCTCATCTACATCCTCCACCTGAATTCTGACTGTAGCTGAGTCCTTGAACGGCCCCAAGTACAGGAAACGAGGGTCCACATGAGTGTTGGTAGCTTCCACTTTGAGAATATACAAGTTTTTGCTTTCAAAATCCAGTGCCTGGGGAAAAAAAAAAAAAAAAAAAAAGTTTAGGAAGTCTGTGGAGAATGCTGGGGTTCTCAGGTTCTCAGCCAGATTAGCAGGATGAATGGTGGGAAGTCATGGAGAGGCCTGTGCTAGCTAACGGGAGCCTGAACTGGAATTGAAATGCCAGCAGAAAGGAGAAAGGGCTATGTGCCCAGATAATACATTAGGAAGAAAACCATCTTTTTCAAGGAATTCTATGCCTGGAACTCCTAAACACCAAGCAGTTTTCTCATACAGCTTTAACTCTTCATGCCGGTTATTCTGTTATTTTTTGGCATTTTGATGATTTATTATCTATTTCCTGTCCTTAGGCATCACATAGTAAAGGAGGGAAGATTTCCTAGGTGTTGCTTGTTTAGATACTGGCATTCCATCACAGAAATGAAACACAGTGGCACCTAGTGTCTGGATCTCCAGGACCACTCACAAAGCCAAACATGATTTTATGATAGGCTAAGACTACAGCACACACCCTTAAAACTACAAAGAAACAGCTTTTAGAGACTCTTTGTTACTAATTGGAGAAATGTGGGGACAGAGTAGTCACCCCATTTTTCCATTACATTGCAGAAATTCACAGCTTCTGTCAGCAACAGACAGAAATACAAACAGAGTTAGACTGATATCATAATCAGACCCTGGAAGGCATCTCCTAAAAAAACAAGTAATGACAGGTGTCGTACTGATATCAACAAGCAAGTGCATGTTTGGAAAATCTACACAATGTCTATCTAGTGATGACTGAACTTGAGTTGATGAAGGATGATATCTGTAACCTTATCAAGTTTGCCTGATAACCCACTGTAAACAATGTTTCTCAAACCTTTTCTGACAACCAATGTGCAACCTAGTAGATGATGTCCACTGTGATCTCGCAAGGCACTGATTTTTTTTCTAAAGCAAAAGCATGCTGATAGATATATTACATATTTACAAAATGTGAGTCAAAAGAAATTTATCTATGTACTTTAATATTTTACGGCTGCAGAATCAACAGCCTTTTATAAGGAAAAATAGGCAATGTGATGCTAATTATTTCTGTTGTCTTAACACAGTATCTTCTACTAAGTGAGCAAAACCTGTAAGCATCATAGAGGGAAAATCACAGTTGGATGGTGAAGCTTCCTTGAGTTTTTCTGTGAGTATACTCAGGCTGCAGAATTTTTTCTCAGTTGCACCCCACGCTTTAGGTAATTTACTCTCTCAGGTCCTCCAAAGTTTGTGCATTGGTTTTGTAAAGAAGGTATAAGAGGAAGGATACCAATTGCTTGCATAAAATAAACTTTACTAAATGTAGAGATTCCCAAAAGATAGAATTCAAATTAACAAAATTCAAATTAACAAAACATACATGTTGTACTAAAAGGAAAAACAAATATGTGCTAGACAAAGGTCTGACTGGTGTTTCAGAGGCTGGGATTGTGTTAAGATGTGTACCTTTTTCACAGTTATAATTCCTTCCTGCGTGTCCTTGTCCGTGGTAATTCCAAACATGTCATATCCATCCCCCTCAGTGATGCTGTATTCAATCTCTGCATTTTCATCCACATCAGCATCATTAGCTTTTATCCTGCCGACCGGGGAGTCGAGCGGTGTTGACTCAGGAGCTCTGAACTGGTATGTGCCTGCAGCAGACAGAGAGGGAAAACTGGTTAGTCAGTCTCAAGGTGCTTTGGACACCATTCCCAGTCCACTCTCCACGCTGGGCGTGTGCAGGTGAGTTAGGAAGTCGCTGGATCTTCCTGGGCCAAAAGCCTTCAGCTTCTGTCGTACTTTCATGTGGATAAAAGTTACTTATTTTTCTACCCGTTTTTTTCTACCTGTCTTCTCGTACAGAGAATGGGCATTTTGCTTTGCTATCAACATGCAACTTTAGCAACAGATGTCCCTTTCTGGACACTCTCATGGTCTCTGATGGCTGTATCAGAAGTGTGTATGAAAAATGTCTTGAGGCCAAAGGGCAAATATTAAGAATTGTCAGAAGCTAGTGCAGCTTAGTAACACTAAAACTGAATTCAGCTGAAATATCTGTTAAAAATGTACTACATCAAATTTTTGTCAGAAAAAAAAACCCCTCTGCTTTTGGAGTGTTGACATTATGAAGCTGTATCTTTGCTTTTTACATTGAAGACACTTATGTCCAGAGATGTATAATTAACTCATTGGGTACAGAGTGTTATATTTCTTCTTAAGTTGCTCTAATTTAAATGGAAACTCTTTGCCCACAGCTAAGAACAGACTTTGAACCTAAATGACAAGTTGCTTCCAATAACTTTCCCAGTGACTTAACTGCCAAAGCTCACTGATTTGTCTGATAGTATCTGCAATTATTTTCTGTAACAGCTGCTCTTGACTTTGACACACACTGACACTGCGATACACACATATCATACAGACAGCACTGGTTAGACAAAGTAAAAAAGGAAAAAAAAACAGAGAGAGAAAGAAGGAAGTAAAGAGAGAGGGACAGGGAAGAGGATGAAAGCTGAATCACTTTGAATCCCTTACGGCAATGAATGGAAATTACTTTCTAAGAGAGCTTGTGCAATTGATTCCCATAAGCATCACATAGATACCTACTGAATTATTTGAGAGAGGGGAAGTGAATAGGCAGAAACACCTGGTATATTTATGTACATGCTTTTGGTTCTGTATGCAAAGAATATAGGAAAGTTTATTGTAGCAAATGCTTTCTTGTTATAAATACTCCTTTCTATAGAATTGTTCTTGGTATATTTTTACAAACTTAAATAAATTTATTCCAAAACTTCAATATATTAGATTGCAACAGACACTTTAAAATGCAATCAATCACAAAGTCTGAAAGAAATAGTAGTGAACAAGAAATACAGATTACATTGATCAGTTATTTAAAAAGTAGGAAAAATAGAAGTTGTTTCTGCACATCAATTCACCTCTCAGACTGTCAATTGTAACTGGAGTAAAAATATTATACATTCATTTCCCAGTTATTGTAATTAATCTTGGCATGATATTGCTTAGTTATATGGTCTCTTTTTCTTTCCTAAAGGAAGTTTGATACTCAGTAAATACACAATAGAAGAAACAATATCTAAGGTGAGCAAAAAACAAAACAAGAACAATTTTTGCCCATTTTAGTGTTAGAACACAGAAGGCAAATATTCCATACTCTGGGGGAAGCGAGGTGGATTGTCGTTGACATCAGTCAGTGTGATGTTCACGGTGGTGGTCCCTGATAGTCCTCCCATCTGGCCTCCCATGTCTTTAGCCTGGATGACCACTTGGTATTGCTCCCTGTTTTCACGATCCATGTTCAGTAAAGCAGTTTTAATAATGCCTGTAAACATGAAAATTAAAGAGTGGGGAGTTCACAGGTAGTGACTTTGATGGAAATTCTTATTAAAGGAACAAAAAAATCTCTGTGCAGTAAGTAAACTTTGCCCAGTACAAATATTTACTGTTATGAGATGGTTCATTAAATTACAGACTTGTCATGTCACATCTTAGGCTCCTGCCTGTATGACAGACACAGTATAAGTGGTACCCACAGAAAAATGTTCTACTTATTTGTGAGCCATGTTATTTTACATAACTATTTACCCTCTTTCAGTTCCATGCTAAAATCTCTCACTGAACTGGAAAAAGGATGTTTGTTCATTATTTTGACAGATGTGGTAAAAAAAAGAGAAAAGCTAACTTCAGCAAGACATCCTTGAAGAGTGCAGCAACATTAAATGAAAGAAAAGAAATTAATTAAGAAAATTATGAACACTCAAACATGCCCAAGTATATATACTTCTATTTATACATTGATTGAAATGATTTGCCAGTTACTTCCTTCTTCAAAGGCACAAATACTAGTTATAAGGCCAACTACTACTGAAATTCAATCATTCAGATTTACCATGAAGCAAAGTGTTTGCATTCTCACTGGGTCTCTCAAGGTAAGAACTGACTCCTTTGTAGGCAAAAGGGGTGAAATTCAAGTCCTGAAACCCATGACAAAATTCAAAGCGCTTTGAAAGAGACATGTTTCACTCTAAGAGTTCTGCAATTGATTTCCATGGCAGGAAGATCAAGACTGTGGTTTACTTAGCTTCCCGTCCCCCCCACAAAACCTCTTGAAAGAAGTTTATTACTGGTGAACTCCCAGCTACTTTATCCTTATTATAACTCTAGAGGAGTACATACTGTACTGTCCATGTCAGAAAGAGTGCATCAGTGCAAAAATCCTGGCTTCTGTTATCTAATACCTTATGCTTGAAGGGAAGCTCCCTTTGATCTTGGCTCTCCCTCTTCTCAGAATTGTGTGCACCCTTTCAACTCAGGTTTCACTTTGAGACATATAGTCTCTCCTTCTTTTTCCCTTCCTGAGTCTCTAAGATTTATGTAAGAAACAATCCTGAACCTGATGAATTGTCTGGGATAATCTATTTCTTTCCTGTAAGGATGCTGAGGAGAACAGATTTCCCTAGCTTCCAGCAACATAACACAGTGGATGTTTCCACTGCAGTTTTTACACTCCAAGGAGTTTCTTGAGATGGTTTGTTTCTTCTTGGAAAACTTAGTCAAAAAGCTTGGGAAGAGACTCTATGTAGTCTGGTAGTCAATTCAGTCAGATTCAGCCAGACAAAATATATATGCACAGGTTCCAAAGAAGCTGTCTGTTAGTTAGACCATTAAAAATTCCAGTCACTGTGTATAATTTAAACATCTTCCAAAAACAGAACTCAGAACTTTGGGATTCTATTTGTGATCCTCTACTTTAGCGCAACAGTCAATTTTACCACTTCTATCATTACTCTTAATTAAGATTTCTTTCATAAAATTAGCATTAAAGTGATATGCTGCAGATGCAAGAAACTATAATTACTTTAAACAAGTTTTGAAGAAGCAGACGGAGAAAGAAAACTCACCTGAACAAACCCTCAGTCTTAATTTAGCTATTATGAAGATCTATGAGGATGAAGCACTTTTTTCCACACCCACCTGTTTCTCTCTTTCATCTAAAAGCCAACCTATTTGGTTTAATTTAAGCATCCACTGCAGTTTCTGTACCCACTGCTTGTTAAAAATGATTGAAAACTAGTTCACAACTAGTACTAATTGTATTTATTAGACTTTGCTGGTAAGATTAAAATAATGTAGGTGTCATGTTTACAGATGTATTGCTCTATTAAATTTGTCAGATTTTGCACTGAGTAAGATGTAATCTCTTCAAAGTTTTTTTAGTAATATATCCTAGCTCGGCTTAGCGTGTCATTTTGAATTACAGACATTGTCACAGAATGACAGATAAGGTCCCCTGACCTGTCTCAGATTCGACGGAGAAATATGGTTGTCCCTGGAGAATGCTGTAGACAACTTTAGCACTGTTCCCATATGTAGGATCATCGGCATCAGTTGCAGTGACTTGCACAACAAAGGTACCTGCAATGAAAATTAAAGAAAAAAAAAATTAATAGGTTTTTTTCATGGCCAAGACAGCTTATGATGTAGAGAAAAAAATAATTTATGTTCAGGTCAGACTTGTGGCAGGATGTTAGAAATGTTCTTATTTTGTAGAATTTTTTCTGCTCATGAAGGACATAAACTCAAAATGATACCAGTCTTATTCTCAACTCATTCAAACACAGTTATTGATTGCGTATGTGGATCCTTCTGTCCTGAAGGAAACAGTAATGCACCCCTCTCCAGATATTGTAAGCATTCAGAACTTGAATCTAGGTCATGATTACACTTTTGCAAATCTACTCATACTCCTAAAGTATTTGGCATAAGAATGTAAATATGGTTATTCACATGTTTTCTAGAGAAAAAAATTGTGTTGAATCTTAGGCAAGGTGTTAAGAAACGTAAAAAACTAGCTTAGATTTTGGCATTTAAAACCATTTGTGAATAAAGTGTTCACATATTAAAATGTGACTATTAGGTTCTTACTTCATCAGATGAGTTTTCATCCATGTGACAAGTCCCATGAATGAGGGGAGAGCGTATGCCCCAAAGTCTTTATTTTCATATTGCTTGAGCTTTATTTTAATCTCATTCTTGATCATGATTAATTAATGCTTCTCTCCCTGGACATTATCTCAAATTAGAAAGGTGCTTCTTGTAGTTCAACCATCCATTGCTCTCCAACAAAGAAATCAAAATGACCTCCCTAAGAATCAAAACCTGTCAACTTCTCAGGAAAAGATTTCATCTTAAAATAATTTTCCAAAGAAGTTTTTATTTTTTCTTGTCTTGATTGATTTTTACAGCTCAACATATTTTAAATCCATAGAAAGATTTCAGTGGACTTCAAGGGACTTTGGCATTCTTTTTTTTTGCATGGAAAGAACAAAGGTCATAGGAAGTTAATGGCATGTCTCAGAACGAATAGGTGACAGAAATGTGTACAACCCCTTCTGTACCCCCTTTTCCATTTTGTTTAATTCCTGAACTAAATAAGGTTGCTGAACAGATCTAAGAGTGGTATTGACACAGACAACCATGAAATACCGTATTACTAACATACATTAAACTCAGGTATCATGTAAAAGAGCTCAACTTAATTTCATTGACATTAAACCAGATGGTATTAACTTGCATTTTTTTGTGGTACAACAGAGGGAGCATGTTTCATCCAGCTGACACCTCTGATTCCAGCAAACTGTTGCCACTATTTTCCTGGATTTTAAATTTTTTTTAATGTCTCAGGTACTTTTAGTCCAGACTCAAACAGCAGATGTCTTTATTCAACACCTGTAAAGTCTGGGCCCTTCAATAACTCCATGGACAGAAGCCAGACCAGACACTGAAACCAGTTATCAGTTAGCACCTACCAACATCTGACATTTCGGGAATGCTGGCATTGTAAACGTCCTTTGTAAACATTGGCTCATTGTCATTGATGTCATGGATCTTAATGATGAACTCAGATTCTGGTTCCACTGGTCTTCCAGTCCTTCTGTTTATAGCCTGGGCACGGAGTATGTATACAGGCTTTTCTTCCCTGTCTAGTCTCTTTGTGGCCTGGATGTCACCAGTGTTTTCATTGATAATGAAGAGGTCTCCTGCTCCATCTCCAGAAAGGATGTATTTAAGTGATCCATCTCCTTTATCCTGGTCTGAATGCAGCTGGTGGTGAAATGGGAATAAAAAAATAAAAAGAAAGGAAAATAAATAATTGGAACACAATTCTAGATACTTTAACCTATACCATGATACATGCTTTCCTATCAGTAATACTCAGCCAGAAGGCTGCACACTGCTTTTGGGAAATGAGTTGATACTACAGTAGAAGCAGTGAATAGATTGAGTTGTGTCTTGATGTCAGAATTGAAATGGTCGGCAATATTATAAGAAATTGCCTGAGGATAACCATAAACTGCAGCTGCAGACCACTTTCCCAAGCTAACTATACATCAATCAAATCCAAATTCTGGTGACTTAGGTGGAATCCTAGGAACATATAGGGCAATGATATCCTACAGTGAAAAAACAGAGTGTTTGGGAATTGCAGTAAGCAAAGAATTAAAAAGTGGCCAGTCAAGCCACTTCTGAAGTTTAAATACTGGGTACTTTGCTCTTATGCCCCATGGACATTATGTAATATATCATATAATGCACAATAAAATAACTACCAAATACATACACAAACAGCAGATAAATACATGCATTCACAGATCTGGCAAACCATGGCCAGAGCCAGGCAGGTGTAACAGACCATTACAGCACTGGAAGTGAAGAGATCAGTTGCCTTATCCAAAGGAGCATAGATGAAGCTGAAACATGGTGGCGGAAAGGGAACGAAAAGAATGATGGTAATTAGCACACAAAACATGTGCTACCTGAACCATCATCTCTTATTTCCCCAGATTATTTCCACATCTCTTGGAATTCTGTTGAGTGACTCAAAAGGTGTAACTGATTAAATAATATCCTTATGGGTATCCCTGGAAAAAGCCTTATTTATTCCCCTGGCCTTAAAATCCAGGCTACTCAAATACAACTTATTTTATTGTTACATTAGCAAAAATAAAAATTAAATAAAATGAAACATTAAAACAGCTTCCAATGTGAGAGCATAGGTAATGAAGACAATGGGGAAAAAATCTTTTAGGTAGCAGATTCCTGGAAATTGTTTCTTTCATAGAGAAAATCTTCTTATGAGTCAGGAGAGCTGGATTTTCTCAATCATCTCTTTGCTTATCTTCTCCTGAGTAAGATTTAGGGAAAAAAACCCTGGCTGAATGTTTTGCAGCACGCTTAGCATTGCTGGATAGCGTGCAGAGAACAGTAAAATTTGTGGATTTAAAGAATCTTGGCATAGACTACAGCTGTGCCTGGCTATGCCCCTACCATGCTGGAAGGGCAGCCTACAGCATGACCATATGGTCAATGTTTTGGGCTTCCTCCAAGTTTCTGCTGAAATCCAAAATCCCCAGACAACACACTTGGTGGCACAGTGCTCCACTGTGTGTGCTTATGCCAATGATCCCTAGAGAAAGCATGGTCCATGCAAAAAGTCCGCCTTTAAGGGCAAAACTCTGTCATCACACATTCCAAGACTGTCCAATAATACAAAATATAACTGTGGCACGGTTAATCATTAGCACACATGCTGAAGCACTCTTCTTAATTTTCTCCTTCAGGGAGAAAATGGCCATTCTGTATAATTTTGCACGGAGCCCTTTCTCTTGATAATAAGAATAGCAATAAGTAGGTTCTGTGCAGAATTTTTCCTAAACAGTTTTCACATCCCTTCATGAAACCAGTCAATACCATTTGCTTTGTTTTTTGGATAACAAAGTTTCCCAGAAGGCTAGTCTAGAAATTTGGAATAGAATTGAGGTCTCTTGAGTCCCATTCAGTTGGCCAATTTCCTTGGCCAGGGGGCCTAGAGGAATTATATTATTTACTAGACATAAGTTCAGACTCTAAAAAACATCTATCAGACCAGCTTGTTAAAAAGTCAGACCAGAAGTCTACTGCAGGAAGTAATTTCAATTGGTTATTTGAATAGAACTTTCCTCAAAGGCAACCTGCAACAGAAAAGGCACGAAAATAATTTTAAAATTGTGTATTTTTATGATAGTTTCACATCAGAAATTCAGCTTCTGTTTGAAAGCCTGTTTAACTTTGTATCAGAATGGGACAAAAACAGCCCTCAGTAACAGACTATCATTAATTCGTATGAGTCATGGAATAGTGCTGTTTTGAGATTTGATAAAGGCTGAAATCTCAAGCTCATTTTTATCATCATTTTAATTAAACTTGGTTTCAACGAACAAAGTAGCAAAAAAAAAGTCAAGACAGAAAAGGCGTTGGAACAACTGGGGATAGTTTTCTGTAATATTTTTTAACTAGCCCAGACTACTTAAAGAACTGAAAATGGAAACTTGTATTATTTTTTCCTATCAATTTTTTATTAAATTTCCACTTCTCCTCCGAAATTAACCCACTTGCATAAGACCCACTGTGACTCTGCGTAACAAGACAAAGTACACCTTGGTGCCATCAACAGTGAGAATGAAGTGATCCTCATCCATGGTTCAATCTTTAGGCCTCCATCTAAATCATTATCTTTTTTAAAAAAAAATCTCCCTCAGATAAAATCCTTTCCAATAAGTTTTACAACTTTCCTAAGACATGACAGAACAAACTAAGAGCTCAGCTAGCCAGGCTGTGTGTGGATTATTTACTGTGAGAGTCTGACCTGCAGGAGGTCGTGTTCTACATGTGTATTACAGAAAGCTGAGGCTGGCTGAACACTTGCTCTTCAACAATGAATGTAGAGCATATTATCATGTCTGGCCTCATCAACCTGGTTCACAAAGGGTCTCTAAAAGTATGACTGAAATCTATTTGATGTCAGTAAAGGAGGATAGGTCTCACTATAAGGTTTTTGTGGGATAGACCTGTATTACACCAACTGCTTAATTGCTGGGACAATAACTATATTATCAAAATAGTTTGGATTTTGTTCCCTTCTAGAAAAAAAACAAACCAAAAATGGTCATTTATATTAAAAAAGTTAAAAAGCCAAGCAAATCTCTAGTAGCTTCTCACAGATGAAAAATTTGCAACATTCCCTTGTGAGGAAAAAAAAATTATAAAAAAAAGAGATTAATTGTTTTAGATTACTTTATCTGTCCTTGACAGTTTGTTTGGTAGAAAAAATCTACCCAGGCAAAGACAATATTCTTCTTTATTTTTTTAAGTGGCAGTTTATCTTGGAAGTTGTTGTATTGTGTTTTGTTATATTATATGCTGATTTGGTTTGTTCCTGTGTTCGGTTAAGTTCAATCTCCCATCCC